TGTACATATTATATTATACAAATATAATATATATATTTATATACAATTGGAGAAATGGAAGATATTTAATACTATATTATTATAATATTAATATATTAAATATTATATTGTAAGAAAATTATATTATAAAATTCTCGTGAATATATGTATATGCAATTGAATAAATGGAGGAGCGTTTCTATACGTTTGTATATATACATGTTCTTTGTTTCTTCTCGTTATCTATTATCACTCACCGAGCAACGAGTCCACGTTTCTTTTCCGCAGGGGGCAAATGTTAGGGAGATTAAGGAGGGACGAAGAATTTCTAGTTATCGAGAAACGTAACATCTTCCTCGTCACCGCTTAATCGAAAACTAAACGAAAACTGTCCACGACACTCTTACTTATACGAAAATTTTAATTTTACATTTATTTGTTAGGATTTATCTTTCCCAGATAAATAACTCGATCGCGCTTCATAAACTCGGTTTATTATTAATCTTCTCGAAATATGTAAAAACTGAATTCTCCACCGTTCCGACCGTCTATTTATCTATCTATTCTTAATATATATATATATATATATATATGCACCAATATCGATACTCTTAATTGCTTGAATAATACATTTGTTTGATAATCAAGCTTTTTTTACGTACATGTAAAATAAACTCTTTACATAATCCACATATACAAGCACACGTATATACGAGTGACTGAATTATTTTGTCGTCGATTATCATTGGTATAATTGCACAACGTGCAACACAACAGAAAGCAATTATCTCGTCCATTTTATCACCCATTTTTAATATATGTTTGAAAACGGAGATTACGACTCGTAAGACGTTCGAGGAAATGGTGACTCATCTATAAAAATGACCGATTGAACCTTTCTTCCATTTCGAAATACTCTTTGGAATACGAATCCAGAGAGAGAGAGAGAGAGACGTTGAAAAGAAGAAGAGAGGAGGGGTTGGTCGCAAGAAGGATCCCAGATAGGCGGATGGCGTGCTGGCTGCCCCTCGCCGGAAGTCGCGTGTCGGCGTCGACCGTGCCACCACCGTCCTACGTACCACTTTCCACCCTCCCCACTCCACTGCTCCCCAAGCCGCTCGGAGAAGCCGATTTTAGCCGCATTCCCTTGCAACCAACGCGCGAGGGACGAAGGTTGGCCAGGCCAGGGAAGCGAAGAGGTAGCCAGCCTCGGTTGAATCGAATCGAGGGTAGGTTACGGTTACCTTCCTACCGCGTGACGGTGATTGGTCGATCCGATTCTGGTTCCGAGCAACGAAGGGGTGGAGGAAGGCAAGCAACGTTCGGCCGCCTCGCGCCAGTCCTTCGCAATCGCGGGGCTGAACGCGGCCGATTAACACCTCGCCTCGATCTCGAAGCTTCGTCGATCGTATCGATCTCTCGGTTGGGGAAAATCGTGGAAAAGGAGAGAATCTCTCTCTCTCTTGTGAAAGCAAGTGAAAGAAAGAAGAAGTGCGGTGCGCGGCATGAGGGGGCCGGGCGGGCGAGCGAGCGAGCGATGAGCAGCAGCGGGAACAGCAAGAGGGCGTCGGGCGGGACGAAGGACGAGAGGAAGAATGCCTCGAGCAAGGAGGAGAGCCCCGTGACGGGGAGGGGGGACGAGGGATCGGGGAGCACGGGCGGAGGAGCGAGCGCGGATGGCACGCCGCAGCCCGGCAGCAAGCCTGGATCGGCGGGGGCGAGCAGCAGGGAGGCCGTGCAGAAGCTCCTCGCGCTTGCTGCGCGCGGGGAATGGGCGCCCGCGGACCAGCTGCTCAAATCCTTGGAGAAGGCGGCCCAGAACGTCGGCGAGGATGGAGGGCCCCTTCTCCCTCTCGCAAGCGTCATGGACCCGGTCGGTCGACAATCCTTTCTCCTCCCTCCCTCCCTCCTTTTGCTATTTCTTCGGTTTCGGTTTTTAATCTTGGCCCCCGATTTCCAGGGAACGGGGATGACGCCGTTGATGTACGCCGTGAAGGACAATCGCACGGCATTGCTCGACCGAATGATCGAATTGGGGGCGGACCTAGGCGCCAGAAATAACGCGAGTATTTCCAAGAAACACCTATCAACCTATCAACGTCATCAAAGGTTAACCTTTTGCTCTCCAGCGGTGACTCTCCGCCACTGGGATTGTTAAGGCAACGATATTCATTTATGTTTGATTTGGAATATCGCTTCGTAAATTGTTCCTAAGCTCTTTGAGTAATTATCTTATGGTAATCTTATGAAAGCATCTTATGAGTTTGAGTTGCTGGTTCGACGGAGAGAAACAGGCCTGGAGTGCAAAGGGTTAATTTTTTTACTCCTCGATAAAGTGATTCGTTTATCAATAGAAACTCGTTGAATTTTTCTTTTCTCCTCTTCGTCATCGCCGTCCTTCTTCGCGTGATCGCTCTCCCACGCACGTTGAAGAAAAATGCTCGCGATTTTTTTATACAAATTTTTAGAATAAAATTCGCATCGCGTTGCGTGGCTAGGACGCGTAACGTTGTTCGAGCTGCGTGTATCAAGTGCACTTGTATTTGCGTCGAGTTAACGATCTCCTTGGTTGGTTAATGCTTGGTTCGAGGGAAGGGGGAGAAAGAGGGTAGGTAAGATCGCGTGAAGAAGGGCCAAGGCCAAGGGATTTTCACGGGGCAACTAGGCCGGGGACGAAAAAAAATAGTTCGATTCCAAGAGGCGATTAAAGCTTGTTTCCAGATTTTTATCACGTTTGCTTATCGTTTCTTCGCGTTAGGTGGTGAAGCAACCCACGAGGATCCCTCCCCCTCTTTCTTTTTTTGCGATCGTTAACCGTAATTCAGCGCGAGAATTTTGTATTTAAAAAAAAAAAAAAAAGAAAAAAATTGGACGCACCCCTTCATTAACTCTAACTAATCGCGAGAATCGAGGGGGTTTCTTCGTAGCCCCGCCCAATCCAACGCGTCATTTTCGAATCGTTCGACGATAAGGCACATTCGTTTCACTATGGGCGCGGCAAAACTCGATTTATTAATCGGTTTCCTTTATATATCGCGTCATATTGACCTCGTCCAGTCCAGCGTGAAAACGAAACGTGAAAAAAAAAAAAAAAAAAAAAAAAAAAAGAAATTGTCGTTGATTTACGAGAATTGGTTTCGTTTTTTTCTTCTCCCGACAGGACAATTACAATGCTCTTCACGTCGCGGCTATGTACTCGAGGGAAGACGTGGTTAAGCTACTCTTGTCGAAACGGAACGTCGATCCTTACGCTACTGGAGGAGTATGATCTGTTTTTCTTCCTTCTCTTTTCTCGTTTCTTTTTTTTTTTTTTTTTTAGATCACGAAAAGAAGATGACGCTCTTTCGTTATTCGTAATTTGAATATAGCCGAGGCAACAAACTGCTATACACTTGGTCGCGTCGAGACAGACGGGTACCGCGACCTCCATTTTGAGAGCTTTACTGGCAGCCGCCGGCCGGGACATCAGGTTGAGAGTCGATGGGGTGAGTAATTTTCCTTCTCATCATCGATGCTAGACGTTCGTGACGGCGCACGTTGGGGTATTTCGCCTCTCTAAAAGCGAGAGAAACTATTCTTTAACTGAAATCGTATATTTGTTTATAACATTTTTTAAGATTATTTGTAAATAAGTTATTAAAAATTTAAAGAGATAGTAAAAATGCTTTTCGTAGTAAAATACAAAATTATTTAAAATTTCAAATTTTTCGTCAAATGTCCCATGATTCGATATCGTCGTCATAATTTTGAGATTGAGATAAATATGACATTTATAAACAAATTTTTAAAAGTAAAAGTATGAAGAAAACTATATGAATATTAATTATAATAATAACTGTAAACGCTATATTATTACATTTTTATATTATTATTATTATTATTATTATTATTATTGATTTGGGATCAGTTGATTTGTCTAACGATTAATGATTAACGAATTTTTCGTTCGTGTGATTTACCTGACTTGAAAATGTATTTATTTATATAAAAAAAAATATCCATCTTTGAAAGATTTTCATATTTTCAAGAACTTCTTAATTCATTCATGTATATAGTTTTTAAAATTTCTCATTGTATATATGAAAACTCCTAGACCCATCAAAGCGAGCTACTTCATTTTGTATACCTTGAGAAATTGAAATTTTTTCCTGAAAGTTTGAAAAAAAATTAATATATCAAACGCGCAATAATTTTATACAAAAATTTCGATCGATCATTTCGAGATTAATAACGCGTAATTAGCGATAATAATAAAAATTACCATAACTACCTTGATAGCAGTAGTAACAGCTAATTTCTTTTTTTTATTTCAAAATTAAAGTTTTACCCTTTATAACGACACGAAGAAAGAATACTAAACTGCTTTTTAAAATTGAGATTGAAAATGAAAAATTAAATAACGTATAATTTAAAAAATATCGATAATATCAAAATGAAATTTGACACGATACAAATGCATACCTTAGTACACTTAATTCGTAGCAAAAATTGATGAGATTAAAAAAATAGCTAGATCGTAAACAATAGTTTTACTTTTCAGCAATTTCAAGATTGGCTACTTTAAAGCCACATAACTATATTAATAATTAAAAAATATGGAAAAAAAATCATACCGTACCGTGGACCAAATGTTCAATTAATTATCCATATAAAAATTTTTTCATTTTGAGAATACTCGTGAAAAGAATGAATTTTTTCCCGTTTTTAAGAGGCAAATATCCTTACTGTACAGCGCTCGTGTGTATCGGCCACGAATTCATCGAATTAACAGTTTTTCCTGCGCGATTTTTATCGCGCATCTCTCTTGATTCTCGTCTCTCGCGTGACACGAACGATGGCTCAACGACCATCGCTGCCTGGTACCGAACAGCTGTCATAATTCTCTTTCTTTCTTTCTTTCTTTCCCGCACACCACCAGCTTCCTAATATTCCTTCCTCCTCCGTCCCGTAAACGAGCAAGATTACGGCGATTTCGAGACAATTCTCGCTCACTGTACATGCATACACAGTTATTTATGGAAATCGAATTCGTTTCTTTCTCTCTTTCTCCTTCCATTGGTTGAAAATCGATCCCATCACCGATGCCTTTCAACCGTCTCTTACCCGAAAAGACAACGACTACTGAAAAAAAGTTGGACGCGAATTGCGCGTGAATTGCAGAAAGGAAAGATACCGTTGCTGTTGGCGGTGGAAGCTGGGAACCAATCAATGTGCAGGGAATTGTTGGCCCAACAGGCGCCCGATCAGCTACGCGCGACCACCGCGACCGGCGATTCGGCGCTCCATCTCGCGGCCAGAAGAAGAGACATCGACATGGTGCGGATATTGGTGGATTACGGGGCAACGGTGGACATGCAAAACGTACGAGAAGAGGGCGCTTCTCTCGCCTCGAGAGAAAAGAATACGAGTGAAAAGTGGTAACCATTTGCAGGGCGACGGGCAAACAGCGTTGCACATAGCGAGCGCGGAAGGCGACGAGACCCTCGTCAAGTATTTTTACGGCGTGAGAGCGTCGGCCTCCATCACGGATCATCAGGATCGCACGCCCATGCATCTGGCGGCGGAGAACGGGCACGCTTCCATCATCGAGCTGCTCGCCGACAAATTCAAAGCGAGCATATTCGAAAGGACGAAGGACGGATCGACGTTGATGCACATAGCTTCGTTGAACGGACACTCGGAATGCGCGACGATGCTGTTCAAGAAGGGAGTGTACTTGCACATGCCGAATAAGCGAGGGGCCAGATCTATTCACACAGCCGCCAAATACGGCCACGTCGGGATCATAAGCACTCTCCTGCAACGAGGGGAGAAGGTATTTCGCGCAAAGAAACAACGTCCATCTTGTTCTCGACTCTCGCGACACTAGCACTCTTATCTACGCGTATATACGTATACAGGTGGACGCGACCACCAACGACAATTACACCGCGCTTCACATAGCCGTGGAGAACGCGAAACCCGCTGTGGTGGAGACGCTGTTGGGATACGGGGCTGAGGTTCACGTTCGAGGTGGAAAGCTTCGAGAAACGCCTCTTCACATAGCTGCCAGAGTGGCGGACGGCGACAGATGCGCGCTCATGTTGCTTAAATCCGGCGCCGGGCCGAATTTGACCACCGACGACGGCCAAACGCCAGTGCACGTAGCTGCCAGCCACGGAAACTTGGCCACGTTGTTGCTGCTCCTGGAGGACGGAGGTGATCCCATGTGCAAGTCGAAGGTAAACAAATGTTCCTTCCCCTTTCCTTTCTTCCCTAAACTCTTCCCAAACT